GAGTTTGCGCTAGTGTGGATTAAAGATACAGGTGTTCTTTAAAGCACTTGATAAGGCAAGTCCCTTTTATATAAGCCTTATCAAGTGCTTCAAAAGCAAATGCCCCACTTGCTGATGACTTAGAACCTTGCCTGAGCAGGGTAACTCCGCTAGTGACCGTTTCAAACTAGCTGGCTCTATAGTGTAGTGGTTATCACCTCGGATTCTGACTTTAGTCACATTCCGGTAACTCCAGTTCGACTCTGGATAGGGCCTTCTTTTTGTGTGTTCCTCGTTTGCACTCGGATCAGCCGGGAGGTGTGTTCACTCGGGTTGATCAACTTGACCACCACAGCATGCAGCGGTTCCTACCAGCTCACTTTTGTCGGGGAGGAACGAGGTGTGTCGCTCAACCGGATAGGCCCAAATCACTTATACCTTGCAGCAAAGGATTGTTTTTCCAAGATCATGCGTTTGCAAAGATATCCCAAACAACCAGAAATCGTATCATACTGGCCGCAATGGGTAAGACATCATACCACCCCCCAAGCTGCATTTAACCTAGCGCGTGGCCTCGATGAAAGGTAGCCCCGATCCAGACGGTCGTCAGATAGACGGGTCAGTCGTCCGAACGCTTCAATAAACGCGAAATCTAATACACGCGCAGCATGGGAGGAGGCATCTCCTCCTTGTCCAAAGCAGCCATCCTCCATGCGCCTAGTGCAGATCACCCCTCGGCGGATTCTCCAAATGCTTTTCCAGGCGTTGCGTGGGCAAACGATCTGGCAAAGGCCCAAGATGGAAAGAAGGGATGGGATGTCGTATATAGGTTTTGCCAGGTGAGTGAGTGTATGCTCGTGGTCGGAGACGATCTAACAAGACAGGTCGGAGTGCGTGAGCCGGAACTAGACTGGGGCTCGACATGCGGCAACTTGGTATCTGCAGCTGCCATGGTATGCCTCTTCTCTATCCTCGCGCCATGGGCCAATATTTGCGCCTAGACCGCAATCAACTGGAACCTCGTGCAAAACAAATCCATTATCTCCTCGCTCGTCGAACAAGGCCCGAACCCACAACCAACAAACCTTCCTATTCGCATCCTAGCAGCAAACAACGGCCTGGTCGTCATTGCCAACGTCCCAGTCATACTAAACCCATCGCTCAAGCAACCGGCGCTCATGCCCGTCACCGGCGGTGACGCAATCATATCAGGCGTGCCGGGCACAGGTGCACCAATCGTCATCGAAACGCCTATTCTCAACGCACCGCTACGTACAGGAAACCCACGGGACGTAATTACGGTTGAAGGGAACGAGGTAAGGTAGCTACTTTGCCCCAAACATGTGCCAATATTATAACGTGCAGATCGAATGCTCCATAATTGACACCGGCCTCCCTGTTATTTTTGTTCCGGCAACACGCCTCTTTGCTCTCGCATCTTCTTCTCATACGATATCTTCTTCTCCCGCCGCCCTTGACGCAGACACGCCCCTAATGTCTCTCATCGAACGCGTTCGAGCTGCAGGAGCCGCATATGCGCATATACCCCTCTCGAGTGCTGCGCCCAAAGTATGCCTAATCGGCCCGCCGTCTTCCAACGTGGCCGACCTGGATATCCGGGCTGTGAGTGTGGGGAACATCCACCGCACGGTCCCTGCTACGACCTTGTCGGCTCTGGCGTCTGCTGCAGCTATCCAGGGTACGGTGGTCCAGTCCGTATCCAGTTCTCACACCAGTGGGAAGGCTGCCGTGAGAGATGTAGTTTCGCTCACTGTTGCGCATCCTGCGGGGACAGCGAGCGCAAGCGTAAAGGTCGGAAAGATCGATGGAACCGTACGGCCAGAGGCAATTGTCTACACAAGGACGGCCAGGCTGTTGTTTGAAGGCAGTGTTGCAGTTCCAGAGAGTATCTTCCACGATGTCTAGCATTCAGACGAAAATCATAGAAAAATCACATCGCCAGGATCTAATATAAGTAGCGTACAACCCAAACACCTAAACGAGAGAGTATAAGAAAATAACACACTTAATGATTGAAAGCACGAAGACATCCAAGTCGTAATAACATGATAAGAGTTCGTGGTCCCGGAAACCGTTGATTCAGCACGTAGGGATCTAGTCGTTTATATCGCAAGAGTCATGGGTAGATGCTTTGGGAGGGGCATGCTTTGATAAAGTCGAACGAGTAACCCTAGGGGTGGGAACTTTGGTCTGGAGTCGAGAGGTCGAGGCAGCAGGACGAGTGTTGGATTTAGAACCGGAAGTCGCAGGTCCAGACCTGGGCGGTGGTTTCGCAGGTACCACTTTGGGTGCTGGTCCGGACGAGCGAGAAGCGGCGGGCAAGCGTGCACGAGCCACTCTGCCACGGGCGGGGGCGCCCTCCCGCGCACCGACAGGAACAAACTTTCCACCAACGTCCACACGTCGCCTCTTGCTTGGGCTCTCTGTACACTCTTCGTCATGTTCACCGACCACGGCCATATCCGCTGCTTTGCCCTTCTCCTTCTCCTTTTCCGCCTCGCTCCTCTCCTCCGCCTTCTCCTCCGCCTTCTTTCCTCTCTTCACTCTCGTGGTACCCTCACCCTTTTCACGCTCTACACCCCTCAAGGCGCGTCCCCTTTGCCGGCCACGCAGTCGCACCTCTGCCGCATGGCCCCTCAAAATCCCTCCTCGGTCTCTTCCCCTGTACCCCTCGTTCGCGTCCCACGAGTCTTTATAGACTGAGTGTCCCCAGCAAGCTGCTTGCCAGAGACCTTTCTCCGCTGTCTCTCAAGGGCGGCCACTCGCTCAGCCTCTTTCTTCTCGATCGCGAGCCGTTCTTCCTCGCGCAAGCGTTCGGCCTCGGCGGCGCTATTGTCCTCCTTGGGTTCCCACACTTGAGCGCGCAGCTCACGTGTAGAACGTTGTCTACGAGGAAGGCCCATTCCTGTTGTGGAGGTTGGAGGATGGGTAGCTGTGGCGGTGGGTTGCCGCGAGATAGCCGTTGGTGGGCGATTCTCTGGTCCCGTCGATGGTGGGCGGTACCCAGGCTGGGGGCGAGGGAAGACATTCGATACACTCTGGGAAGGCGTAAGAGAAGGCGCTATGGATGGCGCAGGGATCTGGGGAATGGGGAACGAAGGGGCGGTGCTGGGCGTCTGCGGCGGATACGTTGTCGAAGCCGCTTGATAGGGGTACGAGCTTCCACCCGGACCGGCACTGGGTGCCCGCCTGTGCTTGGGCTCGGGAGGGATCGCAGAACGCTGGCGCCAACCTTGAATGAGATCGACTCGGCTAGCTCCGTCTCCCTCATCGGCTGGGGTGTATGATCTTGGAGGATATGTCGGTCGCCCACGAGTAGCATACGGATTAGCCGGAGTTGTCGGGCCCATAGGCGGCGAGTTGACAGGAGGCGACACATATCCTCCAACTTCTGGTGTGAGACCTTTGGCCTCCTTGGGTTTGTCCGCGAACGTCATGCCACGTTCACCCTCCAAAAACGCCGAAGCTCGGGGATTTGGACGGTCCGCATAACTGTCTACGCGAGGCCGATTGGGATTGAGGTTCGCTCGGCTAGCGCGTGTACGAGGCTGTAGGTACGAGGGAATCGCGGGAGCAGCCGGTACTGAGGCCGGTGGATGCTCAGGTGAAGAGAGTGCAAAAGATGGGATGTCCGGATCGGTCTCCGGTGCAAGATCGCCTGCCCCATTAGTCACACCCTGGGCGCCAGGGGAGAGGCCAAAGACGGGACCTCCGACCTCAGACTCTTGTCGATAGGAGACAGAGGTGACGCTTGAGGAATCCCCGGCATAGGGTGGGCGGTAATCAATTGACATCCGACGCCCGTACGGTCGACCGCCCATACCAGGTTCCGGGCGCGAACGAGAGGTACCACGAGGAGCGCTGAATACCGGTGGGTAGTCGCGTTCAACAGAGTCTGGAATACCATACGGGGGAGGGTCATCGCGCAAGGGGTTCTTGTATACAATCTCCTCGGCATCGATTTCCTGTTGGGCGTAAGCGCGAGTCTTCGGAATGAAGCGCTGGAGCGGATCAGGCTTGGACTCTTCACCCTTGGTCGACGTGGCCTCTGGGTCATTCAAGGGTTCGTCAGGGTCGGAGGCCGACACAGCATGGCCGCCTGGACGAGGAAGGGAGCCACTGGAAAAAATCTTTTGGACGGTGGACCATGCATGTTGGGTAACGAGCTTTATCCAGACAAGAGGTGCCGTAAACAGTAGTACGGCAAAGTCGGCCGCAGAAGTAAAAACGTCAACGCAAGAGTCGAGTGAAACGTAATATGGTTTGACCAGAGGCCGGATGACGTGGAGCAGAATCGCCTCTGACATCTGTGCAAGGCGTTAGATGTGGCATAGTACTGGAGACAAAGGTCCAAAACATACAGTGGCACGACCTAGGATGAGGAAAAGAACGAGGAACATCTTGATCTCGTTGTAGAAGGGGGTGAGAACGGAGATGGTGCGGTCTGCGATTGCCTCGGCACTTGTCCAGCAAGACTGGAGGATCATTAGCATAGTAGAGACAGAACACCGGACTCGACATACCCAGACAATCCAGCACGCGAGCATTCCCTTGAGCTCGCGCTTTCGCGCCTGCTTCGCCTTGACGGTCGGGTCGACACCATTCTTGGACCTGCGTGACGGCTTGGCAGGCCTAAGTGCCTTGAAGGTGGTGTATACGTTCTGGAAGAGCAGATAGGAGCTGACGACGAGTACGAGCATGTCTAGATCATCAGAGGGGAGAAGTGGGAACGGGAAATTTCAGCTGAGGAGAGAATTAAGCCTCTAAACAAAACACGAACAAGCGCCAACACGTGCCCAGTACACGCGCTAGCCCACGTGATGTGGCGTCATCTGCTTTTGCCACCGCCAACTATATATGTTCTCCCTGCTATTATTCTTCCCACTACTCGCCGCCGCTACGGCTGTCCCCGAGCTCGTCGCGCAAGACGAAATAACGCGGAATGTCCAGGACATTAAAGTCCCAGTGCGTACTTTCTCCAACTCACCCTCTGTTCTAACTCGAGCATAGGTCATGCTCGGAGTTATGAGTAGGTGTCCAGATGCGATTACTTGTGAAACAGTGTTTGACAAGGTGCTCGAGCGCGTGGGTGACAAAGTCGACATGTCTCTGGCATTCATCGGCACGTACGTACCCCGCATCTTTCTCACCTGACCGCATTCTTATCTGCACGCGCAGTGTCAACGCGTCTGAGCCGTTATACGGTGTCACCTGCATGCATGGCGAGTTTGAATGCGCCGGAAACGTGCATGAGC